CTCAACAGATTTAATACTTTGTGCTTACTTCAAGGTCTCGTCCCTCACTCTGGATAAAAGCATCTGCCAAATGAGTGAATGTAAATGTGTGGATACTGTCTCAGCCTTCCTGCTAACCTGGTGGTGGGCTTCTGGGAGTCAGGCGCCAGATTTCTGGGGGAGTTAGTTCCCATCCCAGTTCAATGTGGTCTCATCCAGAGGCCTGCAATTGTTTCCCTCGGCCTGCCCAAGGTACAGTGCTGCTTTTGTTCCATCTCTCCATCAGCTCTGAATACAGTCCCAGAGCCAGACAAACCTGTAGGGTATGTTATCAGGACTCTTTGTCCTGGTTCTTAGCCTCCCCTGCCCCGATCCCCATCCACACAACAGAGGAGAGGCACCACTGCAGGCTCAGAGTCTGTCTCTGCGGCTCCTGTAGTCTCTCTGTGGAGGCTCAGCACACTCAGCTAACACGGCCTCCGCCTCACTCTTTCAATGTATGTTGATAATGATGGTGAACCACGGTGACTCTGATCTGATCCTGAACCTATTTATAGTGTTAACAACCGCATTAATAACCTAATTATAAACCATTTATAACAGACATAATGACATGGAGTTAGTAGGTAAATATAAATAAATAAACAGCAACATAATGTAAAACATAAGCAACAAGTCTTCCAACCTGAATGACCACAGAGGTCCTTTGTCCCAACCCCTTTGATACGACCTATAACAGTGTCGCCGCAAGTGTACTGGATCTTCGTCGCCATGGTCGCGATGATAAACATGGAGCTAATCTTATGGAACAGTCATGGCTTGGTTAGGTTTAGGAACATATCATGGTTTGCGTTGAAATAAGAACTTCCTTAATACTAGACAATCTTTGTTGTCATGGTTACAATAATAACAACATGGTTACCTTTGTCGAACGCTCATGGATAAAAGAAACAACATAAATTGCAACTTCCACATGGGAATGGAACACCGCTCTCCTGTGTCATATTCATCCATCCACCACAACCTCCTCCTGACGAGGACTTTGTCTCTTTACACTACGTCACCACACTTCTCCCTTTGCTCCTGTCATGATGACTACGACCTCTAGATGTCGCCTAGCAACAAAACCTAACTATGGGTCATAATAACCTGCCGCACAGATGACCTGTTGGCTCGTTTTTTTACAGCAGGACAGTCTTGATCCCCCCGTGCTTTTTTATTTTTAAACACATTATTAGTGTAGTTACGACAACCACTAGCTGCCATGTCGGAGTCTAACACAACCACACCTCCCCTCCAGGTGAATCCTCTGTATTTACTCTGCTCTGTGTGAGTGTGAGTTAAACAGACGCACAGTGAACAGCAGTGTGTTTCACTGTCTCCCACCCATGGTCGACATTAGTTTTTCTTAACCTTCGTTCCCAAACCGTGACACTTCCTGAACCCTAACCAAGTACTTCCTGTGACTACACCTCAACCAAACTTAACCAAACAGCCAGCCTTTTAATATGTGGAGTCAATGAGCTCAAAGACGAGAGCCACAACATGGAAGCTGCTGCTGAGAATAACACATTTGGAAATCATTTTCTACATTTAGAGTGAAACTAAAAGAGACAGAGAGAGTGCATATAAAATGTGTTGTGTGTGGGAGCTCAGGTGCACCGTGCAGTCAGCTGCTGACCTGCAGCACAAGGTGTGAAATGCAGTGAATCTTGACACTAAAATTACAGTGCACTGCTGGATCGCCAGTGACACTCCCCACGCTGCAGCTCTCTGCACAGACAGACAGACAGACAGACAGACAGACAGACAGACAGACAGACAGACAGACGTGGCATTTTCCTCAGTGTAGTGAAAATGCCAGCAGCAGTGCCCTCGTAGAAAGACAACGCCCTCTGTCCTCGCTCACCCTTTAACTAGTCCTGAGCCTTCCTGTCTGTTCCTGCGTCCTCTCACATCCTCTGTCACCTGCTCAACCGATTTCATTATGCAGTGAGTCTGATTCACTGGACAGCAGCTGGTGATACAGTAAGAATCTTTAATAACCAATCAAAGACGATCAACAGCAGTGACTGAGTCTGGTACTCACTGGCGAGGACTGGCACACACCTGTAACGTACCATCACCTCCGGGTAAACAGTTTTAGGCTCTGAAATTTAACACGGAGAAAAAGAAACAATGTAAAAAATTTTTAAAAAAAACATCCTGAGAGAGACTGAAGGTTCACTGATAACATCAGTCATGAGCTGCAGATCACACAGAGGTTACAGGTGGTGCAGTAGGTGGTGTCACTCCCTTCATGGTCACACATCAACATATTTCATTTATTCACTGGTGGAAGCAAATCCTCTACAAACCCTGTGGTTTTCTCATCATGATTATTCCTCATATGATATAAGTTAACTGACATATTTACATGTGTTTTAGTTGCAGCCTGTGTTCACTTGACAACTACAGAGAAAGCCTGTATCATTTATCAATGTGTTGTACATTAAAGTTCCAGTTCTAAAATACATTTACTGTATCCTCATTATTTCATTCATATTTATGATGTGATTTTTCTCAATGTGCGGACGTCAGTACAGAAACCAGTTTCATGGCTTCGTGATGTCAGGATAAAAGCCACAAAAAAACAAAACAAAACACTGACGTCTCTCTGGACACTGGGGAGACCAGGGGAAATTTGCAGACTGAGTTCCAGTCATAATTAGATTTACGTTATAAGAGACATGCAGCTGATCCCAGTGACACTGTGATATGTGAAGAAGATGGAGCAGGAGCAGAGCAGCAGTGTGAGGAAGCCTCGGTTGTTTCAAACGTGTCTTCAGTGATTCCTGCAGCATCACTGCAGAGACCGAGGCGTCCTCGTGTTTGACTTTGCAGAATATGCTTCGCTGTCTCTTTGCTTGTGATTGCTCGTATGACCTCACTGACCCATCCTTCTCTTAAAGTCCCAGATGGCAGCAGCACGGCACTAATTTTATCTAAAGCCCTGACACAGGGAATCCATCTATCCCAAAATAAATAAAGACTGTACATTTAATGAGTTAAAATGATTCAGATGTTTTTAATCATATTTTTTTATATATATATTTCATTAAATGAGCTTCAGATAAATTCAAATGACAACACTTTATTTCCTTGTGCTCTGTTTTTAAAGCTCAGTGTCTGGAGCTGAAGGAAGTTTGAATAAATTCCTGATATCCTCAGAGCTCTGTCTTATGATCGATGGCTGTTTGGGTTTTGATCAGCTGTGACGTCTGTGGTCAGGTTGTGTTGTGTGTTGTATTTATTGCAAAAGAGCTGTTTCTCACTAGTTACAATGGAGAATGGTCGCTGTACTTCATGTGCTAGATTTTAACAGGCCCCTCACGAAGGCTGCTGAGGGACACAATTTGATGGATTGTTTCAAATAATAATATAATAAATTCTAAGACTACTGGTTAACTGTAGCTGTGAGGACAACGAGCCCACAGGACAGGATGTAGGAGGAAGCACTGAGGGATGAATTGAGCAGCAACACTGATCGTCAGCTCACATCGATCTCTGTAAAACTTCACCTTCTCCCCAAATTTCACTGCATGACCTCAGACCTGTGCAGAGGAGCATTCAGTGTCTGGAGGAAACCAGGCTACACATGTTTGAGGTTCAGGATCAGGATTATACACATCACAAACCTGTCACACACACACACACACACACACACACACACACATATTGAAACATTACATACTGCTCATATAGATAACATACACAGATCATCACACAACAGTCAGCTTTAAAAAAAAAACAAAACACACACACACAAAGTCAAAAAAGAAAATGGCTAAAATAAATAAATAAATAGTGAAGTTAGACATGGAGTCTCCTAAATTAATTATAAATAAATAAAATTATTATTATTTTTATTATTATTAGCGTATTATTATTATATAAATGGATGGAGAATAAAAAATAGCAGCTTTCAACCAAGATCTCCGCGGTGTGAAAATAAAGACTGACGCGGTTCCACTGACGTTTGGTTCTAAAAAAAAAAAAGGCTTCATCCGTTTAAAATAATGAAATTCCTCCATCACTTTGTTTCTGTCAGACTTGAGCAGAACTCTTGTTGAGCCCGCAGGTGAACAGAGGCAGCATCAGCACCAACATCCACCTCGCCAATTTAACACAGCTGACACCGGCCTCCCGTCTCAATATTCACCTTATAGATAATCGAACTGTTCTTATTCTGTGAATGATTCAAAAACATGAAAACAGAAAAACCCACAGACCAAACTGCAGTCTTTTTTGTCTCTTTTTACTTCAGTTAAGAAAGTTACACAAAAGGTGGCAAATTTGTCGACAATAAATAATAAATAATTTTTTTTGTTGCACGGGAACAAACGAAACATTTTTCTTCCAGAGCTAAACGGTATTTTTTTTTTTTAACTTATTATTAATTTACACATCTTTGGGAAAGAAAAAAAAATTTTCGGACAGACACTAACTCACACAAATGTCCCACGAAGCTTGTGGCAAAATAGAGGTATACCTTGTTGCAAATGCTTTAGTACTTGGGTCATGTAGGAAATCGTGTAATTAAATGAAGAAGCAGTGCTGTTCCCTCCAAACGCTCTATTATATGATGAAGTGCGTTTATGAATTTTTAAAAAAATCACCAGTCATTGTTTTCTATTCAGAGTAGCGCACAGCGTTTAGATGGAGTTAGAGTCCGGATCTGGCTCCTACTCAGAGGTCCCGTTGATCGGTGGAGTAACGGTCATGTCTTCTCGTTTTGGCAACTGTTAACCAGGCAGCACCGGCCATGATGACGCATGGATGGACAGTGGACACTCTAACGTCCACCCGGGGCGTTAGAATGGGTGGCTATGGTAAAATCCCATGATTGTCTTCACAGTGTCAAAATACAACCAGGGGGGTTGCTTGGTGCAGTCGGGCGGGAGGGGGGGATGGGGATGTATGTGGGGCGGAGGGGGGGGGGTGCTGTGTGTTCAGTTCAGTCCGTCCATTGCGCGTCCTGCTCAGGCCTCGATGGGACTGGACACCATGCTGTTCGGCGTGTCTGGAAGCTGGGACGACATGGACGCTACCTCGCTGCCCGTCGAGTTCGAGCCCGGTCCTCCCTCCGAGAAGCTGACCTGCGGGGACACATGGAGGCAGCGGTCAGACACATCTGGATACACCGCTCTCACAGCTGGAGGGTCATGGCTTAGTTCATTTACACGGGTATAAGGCTGGTTCCAGAGCGGGCCCCGCTGGATCCACCTTCAAAATCCACTCTCTGTTTAATAACCATCACAGTGAACACCCGCGTTTTACCGACGGTGATTATTAAATTTAGGTTAATTTGTCCTGCGTCGCAACGGAACAGTAATTAATTTACTACAAGAAAAGCAGAGGTGCTGTCCTCTGTTGGATTACCCATCAGTCTGTGCGTGATATTTAGGCTAGTAAGTACAGTAGTCCAGTGGCTGTGGACGGTTAAAAAAAAAAACAGCAGCCAATCAGCAAATATGTTTCTGCATTGTTGATGTAAATGTCCTTCACATGAAAATAAAAACATTTTGATTGGACGTGATAAAAAAATAAATGAAAAATAAACCTGATCATGACGTCAGCCGTGGTAATTGATTAAATATAATCAATGTATTGGTCCACAGCTGAGATCTGAACCCTGAGCTGAAACCTTCAACCAGCCTCAATAAAATACTGACAATATCTGAACAGCTGACCTTCCCCGCAACCAAACATCGCGTGAAGTGCGTGTCTGTCATAAATGTTGATCATTCATTTATTCACTTTACTGAAGCCTCGGCGCGTCTGTGCTGGAGTTTAGGAGATTTCAGGAGAGTTGTCTGTGATGCGTCACTCCAACAGAAATAAACCCTGCTTTCATTAAAATGAACTGTTCATTTTTTAATTCTCCCTAGAAGTACAAAATAATGTTTCTTTTGTTTTTTCGACCATGTTGGGAAAATGATTTAATATGTGATGATGAGCATCTTAATTTCCACTGAAATATTCGGAAGTTGAATGAGTATCCAGCCGTGGAGAAAAAAACTCAGCTAAATTATTTTTTAAATATTAGTTATCTAATTTAGTTTAGATAACTAATTATAGTGTCCCACAGCAGTAAACCCTTGAAGAGCGCACACACTTAAATATTTGTTGACCGATATTTTATATCTATTTCCCACATAGATAGAACTGGGGGAACCTCTGCGCGGCACATGTTCTCAACAGAAATTAAATATAAAAAAATTGTAAATATGTCAATACATTTGAAATCATGATTTCATTGAGTGAAGAAATAGGACTAACCAGTTGCTGGAAGGCCGGCTGGTCGATGTCGCTCTGCAGGGCGAAGTCGCTGAGGACCTTCCAGGGCGGCTGGTAGCTCTGCACCTCCACCGGGTTGGCCTGGATGCCGCCGTCGTGCCGCTCCGGACTGGCCGCCACCATCGGGGTGCCCGTCATTCCCTGGATGTTCTGCAAAGGGAGGCGACGTGGTCACAACCCGGTATCTGTCACTGTGGCTGCTTACACACACACACACACACATGTGTGTGTGTGTGTGTGTGTGTGTATGTGTTGGAGAAGGAAGGGGTGTTCATCTGAAATGAATCCAGCAGTAATCAGAGGAATAATCAATAAATAAGCAAACAAACAAACAAACGTGTGTGTGTGTGTGTGTGTGTGTGTGTGTGTGTGTGTGATATCTTGTTGGACTTTGCTCATGCAGGTTTGGTCTAAGACTCTGAACCCTTAAAATAGCTCCAGACCTTTATCATCCATGAGGTTATTGGGGGTGGGGGGTGGGGGGGCTCTGACACCCCCGCGGCCTTTGACTCAGAGACAATGTGTGATTCTGGCCTTTATGAATAAAACAGAGTTACACTGACTCTAATAATGAAGCAGCCAGAGCTGCCTTCAGGTCAGACCTTCAGGACTTAGTGAGCTGTATCCGTGTGTCTCAGTAGAAGTCCAGTGTGAACGGTGTGACGGGTTGTACCCGGGTTCGTCCTCTTACCGTCTTGTCGTTTGGCTGCTGCTGCTGGAGCTGCTTCATCAGCAGGCTCCTCTTCTTGTCCTTACACCGCTTGTTCTGGAACCAGACCCGGATCACTCGCGGGCTGAGGCCGGTCATCTCCACCAGCTGCTCCTTCATGAGGGCGTCGGGCCTCGGGTTCGCGTTGTAGCAAGTCCGCAGCGTGTGCAGCTGCTTCTCGTTTAACACCGTCCGGACCCGGGTGGTCTTCTCCGGCTGTTTGTGGACGTGAGGCCGCAGCGCAGGTTGCCGGGCCGAGATTGGTTCTGCTGTTGACAAAGGACGGGAGAAGAACCCAGGGAGGGGGGGGGGAATCAATTTATCTGTCTGCAGAGCGGCTTCAGCAGCCCGGGAAAAGATGAGGGATAAGACAGGCCTGTGAGTTTCATAGAGGTCTGTAACCACATGATGCTGCAACACACGATACACAACTGTTTCACACACACTTTGACTGGTCTTCCTGGCTCAGTGACACTAAATAAACACCAGACCGTAATGGTTAATCACAATAAAAAAATCTTCCTCCTGCTCAGGTGTAAATGCTCCCGAACTAAACTTCCTCTGAATGCGACCACATCTCATGGTGCAGGAGCTGCAGGCTTCACTGCATTTTAGTTTAAAACATCGCCGCTCTGATTGACTCATCTGACCCAAGGTCAAAACCTGCTCTGAAAACCACCAGGACCATCTGGTCTTGCAGCAGTTCTCTACCACAGAAAACCTCCAGCCCCCTCCAGACATCTGTAGTCTCTCGGACCCTCAGCCATGTGTCGCGCTCGTCCTCCACCAGTGATAACCGGGTGTATTTCTGACAGCAGCGCCCACTGTATCTAATCTCCGAGCCTGGTCTGAGCGGACTGAGGTATGCAGAACAGAATCAAGACGCAGGAGCAGACACCAGAACCGGTCCCACAGAAGAACCCCAACCAGTCACACATGAAGCTGCGGGACCAGAGGAAATTAACATTACAGCACAGATCGACCCGGGTCAGACTCAGTCCGAGTCTGCAGACTCCGCTCAGATAAAACTCAGTGGAAAAGTGAAACACAAGAGCTGCAGTTAATCTGAACATGAAACATCTCGGTCTGATGGAGTCATCTCGGATAATCCTTTCATTTATAAGGCCTGACCAAAATCCAACAGCGGGAAAAAAGCTTCAGAACTCCCGAGAAAGAAAAAGTCAGAGCCGGACTCTGTGTCTGCGGCAGTAACGATCCTCGTCTCCCACTCCCCGGGACTTTACCTGCCATCTGCAGCGGTCTGGCGGGGTGCAGCGGACTGAGCGGGTCTCCGGGGCCCAGGCTGGCCCGCTCCACTACGTCGTGGTCCGCCCGGCAGAAGAGCCCGTCCTCCCGTAGAGCGAACTCGTCGCCCGGGATGAGCTGCCGGCTGCAGGCCACGCAGCGGAAACACTCGATGTGGTAGACCTTGGAGCGGGCCCGCATCACGAAGTCGTTCTTACTGAAGCCGATGTTGCATTTGGCGCATTTAATCCCGTATAACCTGCACGCACACACACACACACACACACACACACACACACACACATATACACATACACACACACACACACACACACACACGGTCCGATCAGTTTCACTGCAGGAAGATCAGCCACTAAAATCTCGTTATAAAATATACCGAATAACAACATCGATCATTTGTCTTCACGATAATAATGATAATAAATAATAATAATAATAATAATAATAATAATAATAATAATAATAATAATAATAATAATTGTTATTATTATTATTATTATTGTTGTTATTATTATTATTATTTTAACAATAATAATAATAATAGTGATAAAATGTTGGCCTTGGCAATAAGATATCAAAACATTTCTAAACATTACTTCTAATAATTTGTAAAGCTATACCTTGCCTGATAATAATAAAAATAAAAATAAAAATAATAGTAATAATAACAACAACAACAACAACAACAATAATGATAATAATAATAATAATAATAATAACAATAATAGTAATGGTAGTGTTACATTAGCAGTAACAGTTCGTTATATTTATGATATAATTCTAATGAAGGTTTCTTCTGGAAGATACTTTCATTTTCGGTCTTTAGTGTAATTTGAGTTTTCATCAAACTGCTGATCCGGTTATAATCTAATAATTGTTAATAACAACAATCAGTGGATGATTTTCAGGCCTTTATAATAAAATAGTCAGGGTGTTCGCAGGCCCCTCAGTCACAGAGCGGGTTCTGCTTCAGTCTGATCCGGACTCAGTCACACAGACTCGGCCCGTGTGGCCTCGTGTGTTTTTAAATGTATCTGATGTAAACAATGAAACTGTGTCATTAGTTGTGAGGACGCGCTTTACAACAAGTTGTTGTAGTAAAGATGATTAATATTCAAAACCATGTGAACCCACTGAAAACCAGCTCCACGCGGCTGAAACCGATCCCGATAATCTCACTCTGACATTGTAAAACATATAAAATAATAATAATTATTATGATCCCAGTCTCCGTGCAGCTCGTACTCCTGTCGTGTAGCCTATGTGAAGGTGGATGTGGGGTTTGTCCCGTCCCGTCCCGTCCTGTCCCGGCACGTCCTACCTGATGTAGTCCCGTTTACAGTAAGTCTTTCCGTCCCGGACGAAGCATGTGCAGGACTCGTCCAGATACTGGCTGCACTCGGCGCATTTCAGACAGGCAGCGTGCCACTCCAAGTCCGGGGAGACCCGCAGGATGTACTGGTCGTGGATCTGGTTCCCGCAGCCCACGCACAGAGACACCAGCCGCTTCTCTGGAGGTGCAAAGCGGGACACATTACACAGTGTTCTCAACTGTACGCTGAATAAAGTGGACCATCAGATCACCTTAAAACAATTATTATTATTATTTTATTATTATTATTATTATTATCAAGAATTTTTCAAATTACCAAAATACATTCAGTTTTTAATAAAACTCTAACAGGCCGAAGAAAACATGTTCTTTCTGCGGCATCTCAACGAAACAAACTCAGCTCAACTTGTGATGAATTCACTTCCACCATCGCTGCCCTGCACCGAGCAAGTCTCTTACTTTTCGGCGGATCCCCCATGTCTCCCATGTCCACAAAGTAAGCCGACGTTAGGTCCACTGTCACAGCGGGCTGCGGCGCCTGGATGTGTCCTCCGCTGCCGGGCTGCCGGGGCCAGGGGGCTGTGCTGTCCGGCTCGGAGAGGGAGTGTGTGTATGTGTTTGTTGCCGGCGTGTGTGTGGAGCTCTGATCCTGACAAGCGGCGGGGCTGACGTAGGACATCAGCACGTCATCTGCATGAGCAGCTGATTGGCTCTGCAGACCCTGACCAGCACTAACCACACACACGCACACACACACACACACACACACACACACACACACACACACACACACACACACACTGGCACACTTAATGCTGTGTATCATTTGTTTTCTATCATTTGTTTTCTGCTGTGTTAATTTATTTTTTCTTAATTTTCACTGAGCTGTTGGTGCACAGTGGGATTATTGTGCAACTTCATAAATGAAAGGAACACACACACACATACACATACACATGTCTATTTTAACTTTTAATTTGAAGGGGACACACGGGAGGCCTCGCTGTTGGACGTGGCCTTGAAGGAGGCGGATCTGGTGGATTTCACAGTCCACAGTTAAACATCATATAAAAACCCCTGCAGCAGCCTCTGTGGTGCAGGTAAAGGATCCTGAGCTGCTTGTATGGGAACTTTGAGGAAGCCCATGCCTCGTTGTGAGCTCTGTGACACTCTGAGAACCAAACCTGGTCTGTAGAGAAAGGACGATCAAACCAGCAGGAAGAAGTGTTAAACCTTCAACCCAACGAAAACCATCAGTGAAACACGGACATGCGCGGTCTCTCCAGCAGCTGATGGTGTGAGCCTTAAATCAGAGCGGTGACAGGCCGGGACCCGCAGGGGCCGCGGTGACACACACCAACACGCCCTCTTGTGTTAGTACCCTACTAACGCTTTAAACACAGAGACGCACAGAGACACGGGCTGCAGCAGAGGGAAAGAAAAGAATAAAACACACATCAACTCAAAGTCTGCGGTGATGAGGAAACCTGAGGCCAATCAGATCACTGCCGTTCACACAGGTGTGTTGGAGAATGCGTCATAAAATAGGCCAACATGTAAGCATGAATTTATTACACTATCATTATTGGACTATTGTTTATTATTAGATATTATTATTCCAGAAAGGTTCATCTTGTCTCCACTGCACTTATTTATGCTGTTTTTCTGCAGGAAGACAGCAGTCGAAACATGGCAAGGTAAAATCACCTTAAAGCACTTGTCTATTAATAAGAAAAAAACATAAATATTAGCTATTATTATTACTATAATGAGCTGCTGGACAACTGAGTTTCCCCTGGGGCATAAATAAAGCATCTATCTATCTATCTATCTATCTATCTATCTATCTTCAAGTATTTTCCTAGATAGATAGATAGATAGATAGATAGATAGATAGATAGATAGATAGATAGATAGATAGATAGATGAAACTGAAGGGGAATCTGATAAATACAGAATAATTGAGAAATGCTCACAGGACCACTGTTAGCACAAGTAAAATATTTTTATACATTTTTATTTGTTGTATATTTCTGGAATTAATCTGCACATGATTATTATGATCATTACACATTTTACATGTGTAACCTGTTTTCCTTTGGAGTCACTCAGTAAATATAAAATGATATAACATATAAAGTATAAGTATGAAACATAACAGTATAGAGCAGTATAAAAAAGTATAAAACTCCTTAGAGCCTCAGATATCACAGATGCGTGTGAACTGGTCATTGGTGAAGTTTGAGTGACAGACCGCTGAGGCCTCAGTGAGCGTCGTGGTCTCATGGTCTCACCCTGGACCGAAGGACCAGATTAAGGCCCCAAGACTACAAGTGTACTGACAGGTCCAAGACTTAAAGCAGACCAGAAGGAAAAGACACAACAACCTAGAATATTTATAGTGGACACTGTACAGAATTTTTTATTTGTTCAAACACCTAAACTGAGCTGGGTTGAGGTTTTTCCTTGTTGTCAGGTAAATAATGCAGCTCAGTATTATTGAAAATTACAGGAATATTATGGGGGACACATTTTTCACCTGGGGCAAACATTCATTGTTAGTGCAGGAAGTCGTGTGCCCCTGGAGGTCAGGGTGGTGGATCAGCATCCAACACTTTCATGTAGGAGACTGGACTTTGTGTCCTGTAACTGTGATATTCTCCTGATCAGATCATAATCTGCACAAACACTGAGGGAAGAAATAGCACCCATCATACAGGGTTTGGCAGATGTCAGAATCACAGTTCATCTTCCTAAAGTCAATGCCTAAATGTAAGCAGCTACACGAGTTTTACCCAAACTGATACGAACACTTCTGGCTCACCCACTTTGAATGAATGGATAGAAATAATGTTTGAAATACTGTATGTATATATATTTTGGAAAGGTTTTCATAAAATAGTGGACTGAGAACATTAAACCTGTGAGGTCAGACTTTAACCGATGTGATGCATCTATAATTATTATCAGAGCAGTTGCTGATTTATTATTGCTCTGATACTGAAATACCAGATTTCACATGTGGAAACAGAATCAAAAAGAAAGAGTCACTTTAGCAGTAAAATACAACTCAGCAGTGGAACAGTGTTGAGTGTAGAGTACATGGATGGATGTAATGGGCACAAGTAAAGCAGCAATGGAGGGAATGGAGCCCAGTAGAATACAGTAGAGCAGGGGAGTAGAAAAGCACTGTAACCGCTGTCACGCACAGTCAGTATCTTCTTTTAAATTATTTTCTGTTTTACAGTTTTTTACTGCACTTTTTCACACAATTCTTTTTGCTTTCACCGTTATTGTATTATGTATTTACCATTGCTGTGTTTAACGTTATTATTATTATTATTATTATCAGAGGTATTTTAGTTGTTATTAAGGACTTTTCAGCACTAAAAACTTGTCACCTTCCTGTTTATTTTTATTCTATTTTACTTTACTTTCATTTTGTTTTGGACTTTTCTTTTATTGGTTTTCTCAGTTTGGTGTGGGTGGGGGGGCTGCACAGAGCCACGGGGCCGGTTTCACAGAGAGATTTCAGACTGGTCTGTAGTGTTGGTACAGCATTCATTTGGCTCATAGATGAGTCTGAGTCAGACTGTTTCACACAAATAAAGACTGACTAATTTTAAGACAAAAACATTAGACACTTTACCCCCAGGCTAACTCAGTCCTTACACCAATGTTACCATGGTAACATTCAGTGACACCTCCGGTAACCAGTAGCACTCAACAACAACCAACAGGAAAACATGGCTCATGATTTGTGGTTTGCTAACATTGTCATGGAGAGAGCAAAGAGAAGAGTTTTCAGAGACTGCAGCCATTTTTCTTTCTTTTTATTGTTTCACTCTTTGCTGAATCTGTAACTGATGAATTCCTCCAAAAAACAAACATTTTCTGCTGAGGGTAAATGGAGCTCAGAGGTTGGATATGGCTCTTTGGTCAGCCATTTTTTTTTTTTATTGAAAAAAGTCTTAATTAACCCTAAATTAATCATACCACAGTCCACAGGCTTAAGATAGTCAAGAACTGAACTGCTTTGTGCAACGGATGAATTCAGACGTCTCTCTGAAGTCTGACTCTTTGTTATATCTTAGACACAGTCAAAGTCTGTCTTTGTGAAACCAGCCCCCTGATCTCCACCCTGGATCACAGACTGCAAGCCAGACCTGGACCCACTAATCCAGCAGCAGGTTCAACATCTGGTGGAGACACTGAAACCAGCATAACATTAATACACATGGATGAATGCATGAATGGATGAATGAATGAATGAATCATGGGTGAAATGTCGGGGTGTCCACATACTTTTGGTCTAGTTTATGTAACAGACTGAGTGAATAGCACTGAACAAATTAAACCTATTGTCAATACTATTATTATCCTATTGACACCCACTCATACGGTGAGCTATGGTCATTTCATGATATGGGACAAATAATATTTACATCCCTGTCTTCTTTCCCTCCATACTGTAGCTCTCTCTTTGTGTGTGTGTGTGTGTGTGTGTGTGTATGTGTGTGTGTGTGTGTGTGTGTGTGTGTGTTGTCAGCCCAGCAGCCCAGCAGTCCACTGACTTCTTTTGGAGAGCCTGTTCTGATTACAGTTTGGCATGTAGTGAAAGACTGTGCTTATGAAAGTAGAGCACGAGTGCTGAAGAGGAAAATCACAGACGATGCGTCTGAAAGCCGCCGCACTGACAGGCTGTGTAATTTGTCACCCCGTGAAACCTCATTTTCCTCATCAACAACACTGTTGTCACAAGTTCAAACGCTGATAGAAGAAACCATGACAGAAACATTTCCACCCGGCTCTCTGACAGCATTTCAAATAACATCGTCATATTCCTGAAATTTATATAAACTAAATAACGGGTAGCTACGGTAACTTGTGTATATATGTATGTATATTTGTGGGTTTTATTGGTGGTAATTTGTGAGAGGCCAATCAGTCAATAACACATTTTACATATGCTGAGCCTTTTACACATGTTAAGGCTTTACACTGTAAAAGAAACTTGAGTCAAAACTAAAATAAAGAAAAAATAAATTAAGACAAAATTTCTAAAAAGAAAAATAAATCAATTAATCAGAAGAAAAATAAATATCAAATATTAGAATAAATCCATGAAGCACAGGTGAATGAAAAGAGCATTAAAACAGAGAATCATCCTGTAACAAGATACAGCTTTGTCTGTTACAACACAAATCATTTCTTCAGCTGTAAGAAATAGAATCTAAATGAAAACACACAGTGACTGATGATGATCTGGTGCATCTGTCCACAAAACAGGAAATCATACTATCATTTAACCTGAGCATGAACCTTTCCAAGCTGCACACTTGAGGTCATGTCATATCAAGTGTTGACGATGAATCTGCAGAACCCAAAATTAATATCAGTGACAATGTTAATTAATATTCAATATGAACATTTATAAACAATATCTGTGCATGTTAACTAAGGTGTGGTGACGGTGAACAGCGAATA